GCTTCAGCACACTTTGAATGCACGCGCGCATCCGGAGTATCTCTTATCCATATTGTGATATTACTATGGCCAATAGGAGGTTCGGCGATTACGCAGGTGATGGTTTTGATCCACGGCATGTTCCAGGAACGACGCTTGGTAAAGTCTGTGGGTGCTTGCGTAAGTATGCTAGGAGACTTGGCTGCGGGACGAAGACGCGAATAAACAGCTAAGCGTTTCGAGTTGGTGCTTATCTTGTGAACTTAAAGCTTGGAGACGTATGTCAGGATGGAAGTGTGAGAGTTTGTTACATGGATCTGAAGCGAGTTACGAATATCAACATAACGACCCTGCGCTACGTCAATAAACTCGTGGTTGGTTTCTTGTTGCTTTTGAAAGAGCAAAATTGGTGTGGTTGAGATATTGTTACCGATGCATCTTACAGTGACTGTTTCATGCACCACTGTAGAAGCAGGTCATATGTTTGACTTTGGACTTCCAGTCTGTCATTCGAGATGCAGCTCGCCTTCGCGCTCGGCATAGGGATAATACTTCTGTGTTTCGGCCCATAACGTTTCTTCGTCCATCTGGCTTGCATCCAGGCCTGCAATGATGTCCCTTAACATCTGTTAGCCCCATCTTTCCAATCGTCAATGCGACTTACTTGTCTTCAGCCAACACTTCGAAGCCCGGTACACAGTCAATGAGCGCGTAAATAACATAGCTTCCGATGAAAGACCATGAAAATCCGACGACAGCCTCCACAACCTGAATACCGAGCTGGCGAACGTTCCCATCGAAGAATACTCCACCAACGATTTCTGTGACTCCATCATACCCAGCGACTTCTTTCCGAGCAAAGCAGCCTGTTGAGATCGTTGCTAGAATTCCACCAAGGCAGTGTGTCGCAAAGGTGTCGCCGTGATCAACCCATCTCCAGCGCCGAGCGAACTCGCTAAACTTGATGCGAAGCGCTTGACGACAAAACAGTGCACCGAGCACCCCGAAGAAGAACGCTGTCGGTAGATCGATGAAACCTGCCGAAGGTGTGATCATGATGAGTCCAGATATGGCGCCCATGAAACATGAGTCGAGACTCCAGCGCCCAACTTCAAGATAAGTGTAGAGCATCCACGTGAGCGCCCCACTGGCAGCACAGAGGTTCGTGACACACAAGGCCATCACTGACTTGAAGTTGAACGCCAAAGTGGTGCCCGCGTCAAAGGCGAGCCATGAGCCCCAGATGCTGATCATCGCGAGAAGTTGGCAAAGAGAATTGACCGGCCTGTGGATGACCAGATGCGCTGGTGTACGGGTCGAGGACTTGCGCGAGCGGAACAAAGGGTATGAAAGGTATACGGAAATCGCCGTTGCTGTTGCTCCGGAATTGATGTGTACGGGCGTGCCACCTGCGAAATCTAGAACGCCTAGGTCCATAAGGAAACCCCCACCCCAGACCATATGAGCTAACGGGTTGTATATGAATGTAGACCAAAGCTACCATTTGTCAGTCAAGCTCACAGGTATACCGTCGTTCAACAGGTAGGACTCACAAATATGAAGGGTATCAATGGTAGGATTCTCCCCCTCTCACACGCGCCGCCAACCGCAATGGCGCATACTGTGGCCTGAAATACTAGTTGGAAGAAGCTGAACAGCACTGCTGGAATGGTACCAACAGGCTCTGCTAGCACATTTCTGTGAAAGGCGTACTTGAAATCTCCAAAGATAGCTCCTCCTTCTCCATATGTCAAGGTGTATCCAATGAAGAACCATTGTATCGAACAGACGATCACTGCTAGGATAGCTGGCATAACTGCTGCTAGAGAATTGGAGCGTGTTGTGTAACCTGAATAAGCTATGCCTACAGCTGGAATGATACCCCAGCCTTGACAAGGTTAGTCAATGTAGTGAATAGTCGTGAAAGATATACATACAGAAGACCGAACAGACAAGCACGAAGAGTGTATCAGTCCGGTCGCAAGCTTCCCAGGCCTGTAGGACCTCGGTAGGCAAGCCCATGGTGGAGGTTCTTCCTAGAAGTTCGGTGTCAAGGTCAATAATCCTGCTATAACAGTGTATATAGAGATGCAGGTAGTGAGTACGAGGCTCTGCAGCGGGGAAGACGTGGGCAAGGGTTGAAGCTGCAGCAGGTACAAGCAAGCCACCTCGGCTGAGCGTATCCTGTTCCCGGTGTCCGCTTTCTTTCCCTTCCCAAGTGCCCAGCATTGAGGCGCTTGATAGGCAATATGTGCAGACCCCATTGGCTTAACTAGGAGATCGTGTCGATCGCTGCGCGACGATAAGATAAGGAAGGCTCTCCATGGTCGATAACAGGAAGGCCGGGTGAAAGGTGCATTAGCCGAAGCCACGTTTAGCACCACTTTCTGCTGCTCGTGACTTTGTGATATGCTTTTGCGGCGCTTCATACGCGAACATGGTAATTTAACAATTCGATGGAGTGCCGGCACCAGATGTCGATGAAGTGTCACAAAGGCCTCGATCGCAGACCGGGGCGGCGCTTTCCCACATTTGGTAACGCTAATGCCGTTTTGAGCCTACGCAGAGGCACATCCAATGTTCACGAACTGTGACCACGGTTCCTGATCAGCGCGCCAAAAATGTCGGATAGCGAAGAGAACGATTTTTTCGGTGTCAGTCAGGACCTTGTTCCTCCCGCGCCTATCAAACCTGCGGGCGCTTCCGAGATAGATTTTGACGGCCTACTGTCACCCCCACTCAAACTACATGAGGACCTGAAAAACGGCTGCGGCGGTCAACTATGGCCGGCCGGTATGGTACTGAGCAAATACATGCTGCGTAACCATCGAGAAGATGTCGCAGGTAAAGAGATAGTCGAGCTTGGTGCCGGAGGCGGGCTCGTTGGGTTAGCGGTCGCGATAGGATGCAAAGTCGACACCACATTACATATCACGGATCAAGAGCCGATGTTTGAACTCATGAAGCGCAACATCACACTGAACGCTCTGGATTCTCGTGTCAGCGCCTCGATATACGACTGGGGAGAGCCGACGCCGTCACAGCTACCAACACACCCGGACATCATCCTGGCAGCGGATTGTGTATATTTCGAGCCCGCTTTTCCATTGCTGCAAAAGACGCTGCAAGATCTGATCGGCGACAAGACTGTCTGCTATTTCTGTTTCAAGAGGAGGAGACGGGCGGATCTGACGTTTATGAAGACGGCGCGAAAAACGTTCCACGTGCAGGAGGTGGACGATGATCCTGATAAGGAGGTATACTCGAGGGAAAAACTGTTTCTGTGAGTGTAGAAGTTATCTGATGAGCCACAGCTGACGCATACAGTTATCGCATAACGAAAAAGACTTGTTGATGGAAGGACGAGATTGTGGTGGGCTAGCATCTGAATAGATGGTTGGCTGCGAGTCACGACGTTCAGTGCAGGTCCATGGGTAGAGTGTCGCGAACCCTAGTAGCCCCTTCTGATAGCCAAATTCCCGATTCCTCTCTCTTTATATTATCTGTCCAAGATGTCCGCTGTCGAGAAGGATACCATTCAGATTTATTCAACCATGTCGCACTGCTGCATGCGCGCTTTGGATTTGCCCGATGAAAATCGACCCACTCCGGACCCTTACGGATACCTCCAGTCACTTCCCGATGTCTCTACAAGTCTTGATATTGCTCGCCATCGGCCTGCACTGGCATTTCTCAACAGCATCCCCGCCACAAATGCTACTTGCGAAGATATACATCCGTTGTTCCAGCAAGCTCAGTGGCTGAACTTGAGCTCCGAGAACTACCAGCGATTGATACCTGCTCTGAAAGTTGCTACGCAGCTTACTAGGCAAGCATCCTCCCTGTCTTTCCACAACCATGTCCTTCATGGGGAACTCAAGTACCTTAAGGAGAAGCGATGGTATTATCTTGCTCCATCGGCAGATGAAGCAACTAAAACAGCTCATCTGATGACGACTGAAATGCTTAATATCACCCTGCCGAAATATCTAAGGCTCGAGTTTGATGAACTTGACGAGGACGGGTTCCAATTCGATGCCATGACATATTTCGGCGAAGGCGCGAGTGTTTCCGAGATTGTATACTGTCCACGGATCCAGCTCCATACTCATCACCTCTACGCACTCCGTTACGTTGTCAACCATGGGTCTCGATACGATCAAGAGGCGATCTTCCTGAGAATCGCTATCGCTCTTTGCCACGAACTTGCCCATGCCGTCTGGCATCATCGCAGCAGCATTGAGAACCCACCCTCGTAAGTCGATCTTTGAACATGTTCATTGCGAGTCGCCACTAACATATTTGTAGACCCACGACTACCCATGGCGACCCTCTTTATCAGATGGCTGACACCGATCCCGAACTAGGGGATGCCTGGGAGCGTTATACTTTCGGCGGCAATATCTGGACTATCGACTATCCGGGCAAGATTACGACGTATTACTACCAGTTGGATGCAACAACTGGTCGCAGCGATCATGATACGCGCATTATCGTACCGCGTTGGTGGGTACACATGTTCTTCCTCCAGCCGATATGGACCTACTTCAGTCGACTACATCATGAGGGGCTACTGCGACTACCGACTGAGCTCGAAAGCGGGTGCGCATTCCGGAAGCATTCACCAGAATCGAGCATGGACTGGACCATGTACATTCATGGCGCGAAGCAGGTGCCAGCTTGCATGATGACGCGTACGGTGCCATACTTGCTATGGAACATTTTGAGGCCTGCTCTAGAACGCCTAGAGAATCGTAATAAATCTAAAGACGGATGGAGACGTCCAAGCGAATCGGAACGAAATCGAGAAGAATATGAGGAGATGTGCAGGTCGCTAGTAGATCAAGCGGCGGCACCTCATACAATGTCGGAACCAGACGTGTCTCTTTCACAGCCTACATTAGAGGACAAACGGTAGATCAATGAATGTAGCGTTCACGTTGGCCCCGAAATTCTCTGCGAATATGATTAATCTTCATACTGATTTCTTCGCCGGGATAGATAGCGATTACACCACTAACTCAAGCGCTCTCTTTAGTTTTACGTGGGTGCGACTCATGCCGGCTCTCGAAAAACTTGGCCGTAATCCCGATCATGGCGATAACAGCAGAGACCGCGAGAAAGTTGACAATCATGTTGCCCTTTTCCCACTCCTCCTCTACCTTGATGTTCCTACGCAGCTTTTTCCGCCTAGCCCAAATATGCTCGTTCACATTGTCCTGCGTTTCCTTGTGCCTGACGTTGTCAAAGTGTGGAACTTGATTCCCTTGTTTCTGCTGACCAGGGCCAAATCCACCCCATTCGCCGTAGGATTCTTGACCAGCATGATTGGATGACTCCCCACCTTCCTGTGCGTTGGAATATGCGTATTCGGCTCGCTTCGCGCCGTGACGTCCATAGCCGCCGGCCTTATAGAACGAGGGCGGTGGCCCTCGGAAGGTGCTGCGCTTTTTGTTCAGCCCGCTGGCCGGCCTTGAGCCATATGCAGCGGAACTGTAACTCCCTTGCGGATATTCACCCCCGCTCGCTCCCCAGCGTGATTGTCTTTGCGAGTGCTCTAGTTGTGCATCGTATTGCGCGCGTTTCTCCGGTACAGAAAGAACGTGGTATGCCTCGCTGATTGCGACGAAACGTGTGGAGGCTTCGGGGTCGTTGCGGTTATGGTCCGGGTGGTTTTTCTTCGAGAGCGTATAGAACTGGCGCTTGATCTCAGAAGCAGTCGCCGTCGAAGTGAGGTGTAGCGTCTCGTAATGATTGACTAGGGCGTCCGCGTATCGTGGGGCCGTAGCATGGAAATGCGAGACTTGTATGCGCCGCGGAAGAGCAGGACCCGTGCGACGGAGACATGAGTGACAGATGTATGGCGAGGATATGCGCGACAGCCGAGAAGTCGACGTTTGAGCGATTGATCGCAGTAGGCTAGATGGGCGGGGTGGCATTGCCCATTACCAATATCCGAAGGTGAGGGTGCCCATGCAGAAACATGAGTTTGGGTGAATGTTCGGCGCGCATGGAGGACGTCATCGCCAAGCTCCCGAGGCTAAGACAAGCATGGCCTAGCTTCAGAACCCAGTCAATGGGCGACGCTCCACCGGCGTCAGTTAGCGGGGCGTTTCGAGACGTTCGTAAATTTCGAGATTGTCCACGAGACAAGCACCACTGCATTCTCGACACGGCCAACATGGCGGCCAAGGTAGCGGACGAAGTCGCCAACATGAAGTGTATGGAAACGCTACCTCTCGCGTTACATCGCCTAACAGCGTACAGTGGACGACACCAACGGCAAACCAGCAAATGGTACAACGGAGAACGGCGAAAAGCCCGCAGGCGACGCGGATCACGAAGATTCAGACGATGACAACGAGGCCGAAGATGGAGCACCAGAAACCGGCGAAGGCGCTGCGAAAAAGAAGAAGAAGAGGAAGCCCAGAAAGAAGAAGAAGGCTGGCGCAGCAGCCGGCGCAGGAGGGCCCAAGGTGCAGACATCACCGCCACGAGTTCGCATCGATGAGCTGTTCCCCAACGATTCGTACCCCGAGGGCGAAATCCAAGAATACGTCAACGAGAACGCCTACCGGACCACCAATGAAGAGAAGCGCCACCTCGACCGTATGAACAATGACTTCCTCACCGAATACCGCAAAGGCTCAGAGATCCACCGTCAAGTTCGACAATGGGCTCAGAACTGGATCAAGCCGGGCATGTCGCTTACCGAGATCGCAGAGGGTATCGAGGACTCGGTTCGCGCCTTGACAGGACACCAGGGTCTGGAGGATGGTGACGCGCAAATAGCGGGCATGGGGTTCCCGACTGGTCTGAGCATAAACCACTGTGCAGCGCATTACACCCCTAATGCGGGCAACAAAATGGTCATCAACTACGAAGATGTCATGAAGGTCGATTTCGGCGTACACATCAACGGACGTATCGTGGACAGCGCGTTCACCCTGACCTTCGACCCCGTATACGACAATCTCATCAACGCGTGCAAGGCTGCGACAAACGCCGGTATCAAGGAGGCCGGTATCGACGTGCGCATGAGCGATATTGGCGCTGCTATCCAGGAAGTCATGGAGAGCTACGAGGTGGAAATCAAGGGACAGATGCTGCCCGTCAAGTGCATAAGGAATCTGAACGGACACTCCATCGGACACTACACCATCCACGGCGGCAAGACTGTACCGATCGTCAAAGGCGGCGACCAAACAAAGATGGAAGAAGGAGAGACATTTGCTATCGAAACATTCGGCAGCACAGGAAAGGGATACGTTCGGGATGATGTAAGTCACCCGCCTACTAGTAAGCCTACTCTTGATCTAACAGGTACCACAGATGGAGACATCTCACTACGCCAAAAAGGCCGACGCACCCAAAGTCGCTCTCCGCGTCTCGTCAGCAAAGACACTCCTCAACTCCATTACCAAGAACTTCGGTACTCTGCCTTTCTGCAGGCGGTATCTCGATCGCATGGGCCACGACAAGTACCTTTTGGGCTTGAACAACCTGGTCAGCGCGGGTATTGTTGAGGCCTACCCCCCGCTTTGCGATATCAAGGGCAGTTACACAGCACAGAGTGAACACGTAAGTAGCCATTGATCCGTCGACATTGTAAAGATGTGTGCTAACGCAAAACAGACATTCGTGCTTCGACCCAACTGCAAGGAGATTCTTAGCCGCGGTGACGACTACTAAGCTCCAATTACACGTCAAACATGAAGCATCTGCAATTTCATAATAACATGTGACAACAAGTAGAACGGAGCTATGTGTTCCGCGCTCATGAAGCAACGGTTTCATGACCATGACTGGGCACTGCATATACCGGAAACAACAAGAAGTAAAAACCATACCATACCCGATTGATCAGCGTTCACTTGTGTTCCTCTTCCTTGAATGAACTAATGCCAGCACGCTCCGTGTCTTTACTAGGGTACAGATTCAGTAAGTACACATCATCACTACGAGCAAAAGATCGGGGTCCAGAGTTCCAGTAAATTGTATTGAGACGAATCGTCGCACATACCCAAGGAGTATGCCCCGTTCGCTCATCAGCACTAGATTGATATGATACTGCTTCGCGAGAACCAAAAGAATCTAAAAGCCAGCTCCTTCATCTCTTTTCCACAAATATCTCTCTTCTCGAGGTGCTTAACCCTCGAAGGTGAAGCTGGTGCCGAGCTTGTGGCCGGCCTCGTTCAGCTTCTGGGTATCGAAAGAGCCACCAATCCCGAAGGTCAGACCGCTGTTGACCTTGGTGTTGTAGGCGAGGGAAGCAATGCCGAGGTTGTTGATCTTGGCCTGGATGGGATTAGTACAGACGCCCTCGTGCATGTCAGGGACCGTCATACCTTAGCGAAAGACGCAGGGTCAAGCTTGTACTTGGCAGCGAGCTCAAGACCGACGTTGTTGCCGGACTTTGAGTCCCAGACAGCGCGGGCACCGGCCTCGACAGCGGGGTTGACGCGCTGGTAGTACGAGGCGGTGAAAACGCTCAGGGAGTTGGTGGCAGTCACGGCAGCGTTGTAGAGAGGGGTGGTGTATCCGACAGCGGCGGAGTACTTGGTGATGGCAGCCTTCTGCACATCGTAACCGACTTCACCACCAACGACCATGCCCTCGTGGCTAACGACAGCATCGGCGGTGGTGCCAATGGCGCCAGCAGCCGAGTAGTCGACGAAAGCGCGGCCGTGGAAGGCAGGCTGCTTGAAGTGAAGGTTGACCTTCTGGCCCTTGTTGCCGGCAGCAGGGTTGAAGTTGGAGAGAATCTCAGTCTTCAAGCCGCTAGCAAAGGTGTCGTTGAGCTCGACCTTGGTGGCCAGCATGTTGGCAGTGTTCCATGACTGGGTGATGCTGATGCCTGCGTCGTCCGTTGTCAGTAGGTTGATTCCGTAGCCTGCCACGGAGAAGCCCCCCTTGCCGGGAGGCTGCTTCACGTGGAATATATAAGACTGAAAGTTGGAAGACGTATGAAGGGGTATAGAGAGGCTCGTGGAGCTGGGGAGAAAGGAATCGTTTGTCGTACCGTTGGAAAGCGACTTCTTGCCCTCGAGCTGGTGGACGCGTTAGCCATGGCGTTTTTCCGCGTACAATGGCGGGCTTACCGAGGAGGTGACGGGGCCATCGTGGGCGGAGGTTCCCTTGGCGGTGAAGTTGACACCGTTGGGGGCCTTGAGCTTGACCTCAAGGGCAGCTGTGGGCGCGTCAGTGGGAGGGCAGGCGGATCAATTGGAGTCGCGGACCTGCGGCAGTGTGGTAGAAGTCCTTGTTGATGAGCTGGAGGGCGGCTCCGTTAGCAATGGCGCCATGGGGAAGCTCGTCGTGGGGAGCCAAAACATACGTCGTTGGAGGCCTTGGCGATGTCGCTGAACGCCGGCGGCGGGAACTTGGGGATGATCTTCTCGACCTTGACGTACTCAGTCATGTTGGGCGGTTTGGTGGGGGATGTGATGGAGGAAAGAGGGGTGTTTAGGGCGTCGTGTTGCTGGCTGCAAGCAAAACTTCTTGAGAAGTCACGGCAGGGTCCGCGCTAGTAATCCCGGATGATCTTCGTGCCTGCCAGTCCACCCACTCTCCATCCATCCCTCAGACACGACCAAACTCTGTTCTCCATGCTCGTCGGCGTCGACTATACTGTAGGCTAGGCGCCCCTTCATCTTACTTGATACTAAGATGATGCGACTACCGCTCCTGCCACTTCTGCCATCTGCGCCCTCAACCATGGAACCCGTTTCCAGGCGCAGTCGCCCGCGCGCGTGGCATCGTCTTGAGTTGTTCGGCCCACTCGCCTACGCACATGTGGTCGCCAGTCTTTCCTTGACCGGACGCTTTGTACAGCGCAAGAACAGCGCATGTCATGTGGTGTGGGGTCGTCTGTCTGGGCGACAACGTTGACCCTGCAAGCACATCCTCATGCCAACCTACTCCAGTCACCATCCCGATGGCGAAGACAGCCCACTTACTTGCCATTTGTTCCATGTTTCTTCTGAATCTGATCACGCAGTTGAGATGCCTCAAATACACATACGGAGTGGGATCTAGCCATGCTCGTTCGCATTGCCTGTGGGGATATCTTGGTGTCCGCATATTAGCAACCCCATCAATCGCTGAACGAATGACTTTCCTCGCACCGCAATGTTAACTTTGAAGAATGTTCGACATTGCGTTGACGCTCCGATGGGAGGGTACCGTCGTTTGGTTCATACCAGCCTTACCATCGGTGGCCGATCTCGGGTTCCCAGACGGCTGTACTCCGCGCCCCGCTAAATAAATAAAACTCCTAGAGTGACTCTGACGTTGATTATTCTAGCGCACGCGTCTGGACCTGCAACGACACAATAATTAAACCGGCGCTCTTTGGACACATACACAGACGTTTGGATACACCGAGCACGCATCTCATTGACTAGTCGCCGTTCACAAGGGAGCCGCATCCCCACTATCTCGCCAAAACCACAACCACAATGTCTACCTTTGGCACGCACTTCAGGGTCACCACGTATGCATACGCGCCGTATAGCTGCCCGACGTCTACTGACCTGCGATAGCTATGGCGAATCCCATTGTCTTTCCGTCGGCGCCATTATCGACGGTTGCCCGCCGGGCATGGCCCTTACTGAGGATGACATCCAACCCCAGATGACGCGCCGCCGACCGGGCCAGTCCGCCATCACTACCCCACGCAATGAGAAAGACCGCGTAGAGATCCAGTCTGGCACAGAGTTTGGCATCACACTGGGCACCCCGATCGGCATCAGGGTCATGAACGAGAACCAGCGCAAGCAAGACTACGGCAACAAGACCATGGACATGTACCCAAGACCGAGCCACGCCGACTGGACATACCTGGAGAAGTACGGTGTGAAGGCTAGCTCAGGCGGTGGACGAAGTAGCGCACGAGAGACCATTGGTGAGTGGATTCCGGCACAACCACCGTACAAAT